CTCAACTCTCTAGACATCTTTGACCTTTTCTTTACTTCAAAGAGGGCCTGTATCGAGGCTTGAATACTATTCCATTTTCTTTTCTCAAATCGTTCAGCACGACATTTACGATCAGCATGCAAACCTTTTCTCCCCCTTTGATGCTTGCCGGGCAGACGATTGTTTATTTGTGGGCTGAGGCATTGTCGTTAGTCACGAAACGGTCATGAATGGTCATGGCAAATGATGAGCCAAGAAGTTGCGGCTAACGTACCGATGCCCTCGACGGGCAGGGGCTCGATGCCGACCTCCTCGGCGGCGAGCTTCTGCTGGGGCTTCTGCGTGTCGTCCTTCATGAAGGGGAAGGCGAGGACCTCGCGGATGGTGTAGTGGTCGGTCAGGAACATGACCATGCGGTCGATGCCCATGCCCCAGCCGGCGGTGGGGGGGAGACCGTACTGCGCAGCGTTAGCCCATTTTCTTTCTTTGTCTGCGTATGCTGCAATCTTCCGCTGCCGCATTGTGCACGATGGGAGCACGGCGCTCAACGTACCTCGAGAGACATGCAGAAGTTCTCGTCAATCATCTGCGCCTCGTCGTCGCCCTGGTCCTTCTGGCGGGCCTGCTCCTCGAAGCGCAGCCTCTGGTCAAAGGGGTCGTTCAACTCGGTGTACGCGTTGACAATCTCCTTCTTGCAGACGAAGGCCTCGAAGCGCTCGCACAGACCGGGCATGGAGCGGTGGTACTTGGCCAGGGGCGACATGACCTGCGGGTGGCCGAAGATGAAGCTGGGGCTGACACACTGCTCCTCGATGTACTCGCCGACGAGCTTGTCGATCATGCGGGCGTTGGTGAGCGGGGGCGAGCAGTCGAGCTTCATCTTCTTGAGGACGCCGCGAAGGAACTCGTTTGTCTCGGCGGCTGGGGCGTATGTTAGTCGGGCACTGATGCTCATAACAGAGTGGAGAGGGAAAAAAGGGAAAAGAAATAGGTGCAGAACAGCGAAATAGGGAACGCACTGTGCAGCTGGTCCGAGGGAGGGAACTTTTCGCCCGTCTGCTTCTCGAGCTCGGGAATCATCTCGAAGCGCTTCCAGGGCTTCTCCCAGTTGACCTCGTAGACCTCGCCGGTCTGCGTGTGGAACTGGGTCTTGTAGCCACCGGTGAGATGCTTGACGAGGCCGCTGACGAGGTCCTCGGTGGTGTTCATGAGGTCCTGTCCACCGCGTTAGCATCGAGTCGGGCGAGACGAGAGCAAATCAAACGCACGTAGACATCGGCGTACGCCTCGTAGAACTCGCAAGTGGTGAACTCGGGGTTGTGGGTGAGGTCAAGGCCCTCATCTGCGACCCAAGTCAGTCATCCAGCCCACTATGCTGTGTGGTCACGGGCACCTACTCCTGAATTGACGTCCAATCTCGTAGACGCGGTTCAGGCCACCAACGACAAGCTCCTTGAGGTACAGCTCTGGGGCGATACCTGGGCAAAAGTCAGACACTGCATCATTACGTAGAGCATATAGGACTCACGCATGAACATGGTCATGTCGAGCTCGTTGTGGTAGGTGATGAAGGGCTTGGCAGTCGCGCCGCCAGCAATGGCGTTCATCTGGGGGGTCTCGACTTCGACGAAGTCCTAGGAGCGAATGAGCAATGGTTTCAGCATGGCACTCGCAGTGATACTGACCCTCTCGTCGAGGTAGCGACGAATGTACGTGACCATCTTGGATCTTGTGATGAGGGTGTTGCGGCTGCGGTCGTTCATCATGAGATCGAGATACCTCTGTTCCTCGTCAGCGGTTGACCCTGCAGCAACGGTCCGAAGGCGTGCATACCTTGCGGAAACGCTCCTCCTGGTCCTTGAGACCGTAGTACTCGTCGGGGAGGTTGTGCAGGCAGGGCGTCAGGAGCTTAATCTCGGTCGCGAAGATGGAGAGCTCGCCCTCCTCGCCCTTCTCGAGCTTGGACTTGGGCGCTGTCCTGTATGCGGGGGGTTAGCTATGGCGTCCAGGAACCCCCAAGAGCTTAAGAGCGGTATGGCTGCTGACCTTCCGGGGTAGCCGACGATGCCAATGATGTCACCACGGCGAAGGTGCAGGTGCTGGTCGTCGAACGAGACGTCGCCGGTGACCTCCTGGGCCTGGCACATGACCTGAACCTTCACGCCCTCGACGCGGACATCGTAGAACACGAGCTTGGAGCCCGAGGCGCGCTTGTTGTAGATACGGGCGCCGACGCGGAGGATCTTGTCCTTGTTGTGCTCGCCGGACTTGAGGTGGCCGAAATTGGTGGTGAACTTGCGGGCGTCATAGTCGACTTTGGGTCAGAGGTCAGCAAGGTTGAGAAGGAAAAAAATAGCCACGGCCCGAGGGGAGGTCAAGCTTGCCGTGGAACTTGTGGGGGTAAGGGTCGGGAGACTTGTTCTCGCGCAGCCTGGACTGGTCAGCAGGCGAAGCTCAGACGTTGACAAGAACGGGGCGATGGCGCACTTGTTGATGGCGCGCGAGCGAATCTCAAAGTACTGGCGCGGGTCGAGGGCCTTCTCGTCGGCCTCGGCATTGTCCTTCTTGGCGGCGACGGGCTTGGGAGGGGCGGCAGCGGCCTTCTCAGCCTTCTTGGCGTCCCTCTCACGGTTCTTCTGTCTCTTCTTGAGCTCGCTCTTGGACACCATCTCGCCGGTGACGCTGTCGAGGTGCATGTTGGCGACGGCCTCGGTGGGCGGGGCCGGGGCGGGGGCGCTCGAGTCGGCCATGTTGGAGGGGTCGTTTGCAATCAGGTGCCAACGGCGACGATGCTAGATGAATTTCTTGTCGTGCGGATGGCCTGGCGAAGAGCGATCCGGAGAAGGGGGGTAATTGCGTGTCGCGTGCTGCGTGCGGCGTGCTGTGATATCGGACAAAAATTTCGAAGCCCCCGAGTGCGGTGCCGTTGGACGATATTATGTCGCGGCGGGGTAATTTGTGACTATTTGACCCTGACTCACGGATGGGCCAAAGCAACGAGGGGCAATCGAGCAGCGGAACGAGGGGCAGATGAGCACGGCCTCTGCGCACTGTAGCTTATCGATAGAGGTGGGGCCTCTTTTGCTGGACGTTGTCGTCACTAATACCTACATCCCTTAGGCAGGTACCTAAGGTATGTAGGTAGGGACCCAGGTAGGGACCTAGGTAGGGACCGTAAGGCAAGGTACTGAGGGACACCATCTCGAATCGATGGTTTGCACTGAGGTCCGATTCTTAGGCCATGATGGAACAAAGAATTGAAAAGAAAAATCAAAAACCAAGCGTCCAGATGTGTACTGTATAGATAGGGCTTGGTCTCCACTACTATATACATGGAGGTAGATCCCACGAAACATGGCAAATGATGAATGTTGGTGGTGAAGCGATGAGCCTTGTGAATGCGGAGACGAGGCATGGCGTCGTGCCTCGCCATTGCAACTACATACATCTCTCTGCAACATGCGGCGGCCTCTCCACCTTGCTCGCACCACTGCTGCGCCGAGACGGCCTTTGCATGCAAGCACATAATTCAGCGAGGAAAGCTGCAGCCTCCACCAACAGTCGTCATTCTGCTCCTGTCTCGGACAGAAGTGCAAACAGCACACGCAATGACAAGGACAGTCAGTCTGCATGTCGTTTCGAAAAAGTCATTGGCATGAAGGTCTTTGCCCACAGACGACATTGCCCACAGACAGCAGCGTGAGACATCAATGATGGCTGGCATGCCATGGCCGAATCCCGCCGTCGGGAACGATGGAAGATAGAATCAGCTTCGATGAGACACCACCCACCCACAGGGATGATGCCCAGTCTCTCGTGTCTCATGATTGTACATGCTTCCACCCCCGCGTCCAGTGTCGCTTGCAGCCATATTTTGGTTTTGTTGAGCCGACGCCTGAGCCTATCAAGAGAATTTGGACCCAGCCAGCTCGTAGCCAACAATGAGGTCGCGCATGGCATTGGCGTCATGCCACCGCATGTACGATGCGTCAGGGGGGGGTGCACTGAGGGGGCCGAATCATTCGAGGTCCTGACCCTCCCTGCGAAGCCTTCCAAAAGACCTGCTGGATGAGCCTGGCCAAAAGAACCGTCAAGGGAAAGGCAGACGTGGCCGCGGCTACATCCGGCCTCCGATCTTGAATTTTCTTGATCTCGTTGCAAGTGGAGCAGTAAGATGAGGCTCCATGGAAGGCAAGGCAGAAGAAGCGGCATGAGACGAGCCAGCCTACAGTTCTTTCATGTGATTCTGGAGCCCTTCCTCCCTGAGGGTTTTCTCTGTCGGGTTCGGAGGTTTAGGGGCTTGGGGGGGCTTGGGGGGGTCGTCTTTCACTGCTGGTTCGGTTCGGTTCAGTGGGCTTAGCGGGTGCTCGGGCCCTGTGGAGGGGGTTTCCGGGGGTCCTGTTGGGTGCTCCGCGGGGCTCGGGCCAATGGGACGTTACGGTCCGACCCCCGTCGATCCCCTCAGCTCTCTGCCTGCCCCATGCCCTGTTCCGGGTTAAGGCGCTTTTCTTGGTGCTGACCTTCCCGAGTGTGCTCATCCATCCAATCCATCCAGCCCATTAGTATCAACCTGATCCGACACGGCCAGCCTCGAAAACCTGCCGTCTACATCCCACCACCACCACCACCGCCGGCAGCTCGGACAGTCGCCGATTGATCTCGCAGATCCCCAGCATTTCCTCCCTGCCCGATCCTCAACTTCGTCTGCTTCTGTGCTGCTCGGCTGCATGTGTGCTCGCGTCGCCGCACATCCACGACATTTTACCTCTTTCCTCTGGACAAGCCCGACACACGTCTTCTTGCCTATTTGATACCCCCGTGCCCCCTCCCCTTTCTGTCGCGTGGTCTTCCAGGTACCTCATTTGCTTCGCCTTGCTATCGCAACGACATGACGGGGTAAACATATCTCCTTTCATCCCCACGGCCTTATATACTTTTTGTTCGCTCGAGACATACGCACACACATATACCCCCCCTCTGTTCGTGCGCAGAGATTGCGTCATTCGACACCTTCGCCCACCATGAGCGATCAGCCTGGTAAGGCCGCCGCCGCGGCGCCGCCTACGGGCCGCATATCGAAGAAGAGGCCCAAGGAGCTGTATCCCATGGTGCCGTGGAAATACGACCTCTTCCTCTGGGTCATGGGTGTGCTGGTCGACCTCTTCTTCCGCGAGGTTCACCCCCGAGGCACGTGGAAGGTCCCACGGACCGGTCCCGTTCTCTTCGTCGCCGCGCCGCATGCCAACCAGGTTCGTCGCCTTCCCCCACCATCGTCGAGATGATGCCTATACTCTCGACGCTTTTTGCTGACATATCTCTGCTTCCCCAGTTTGTTGACGCCCTCGTGCTGTACCGAACCCTACGCAACGAGGCCGGCCGTCGCGTGAGCCTGCTGATCGCCCAGAAATCTGTTCACGGCTTCATCGGCTGGGGCTCGCGCCAGGTCGGCTCCGTGCCTGTTGGCCGCCCTCAGGATGCCGCGAAGCCTGGCACCGGCACCATCTACCTGCCCGACCCCGACAACGACCCGACGCTGATTCGCGGCGTCGGTACAAAGTTTGGCGAGGGCGAGGGCGAGGTCGGCGGCATGCTGTTCCTGCCCTCGACCAAGGGCCACACGGGCGCCAGCATTGACATTGCCGAGATCGTCAGCCCCGAGGAGATTCGCATCAAGCGCGCGTTCAAGGGCAAGATTCCCATGCGCCAGCTGACGGGCCGTGACGACGGTGCCGGCAGCGGCCTCTCGGAGGAGTTCCAAGGCACAAAGTACAAGCTCGCGCCCAAGGTCGACCAGACCAAGGTGTATGAAGCCGTCTTCAACCGTCTGGGACACGGCGGCTGCGTCGGCATCTTCCCCGAGGGCGGCAGCCACGACAGGACGGAGCTCCTGCCGCTTAAGGCCGGCCTCGCCATCATGGCGCTGGGTGCCCTCGCCGAGGACCCCGACATTGGGCTGAAAATCGTGCCGGTCGGCATGAACTACTTCCACGCGCACAAGTTCCGGTCGCGGGCTGTCATTGAGTTTGGCGCGCCGTACGAGATCCCGAAGCGCATCATCGACATGTATCGCAACAACCAGAGACGCGAGGCGATTGGCGAGCTCCTCGACACAACGCACCAGATTCTCAGCGCCGTCACCGTCTCGACACCCGACTACGACACGCTCATGCTCATCCAGGCGGCGCGGCGGCTCTACAACCCCACTGGCAAGAAGCTGCCGCTGCCGGTGGTCATTGAGCTCAACCGGCGACTGGCGCTGGGCTACGAGCGGTACAAGGATGACGAGCGCATCGTGCACCTGTCCAAGGCGGTCAAGGAGTACAACCGGCAGCTGCGCTACGTCAACCTGCGCGACCACCAGGTGCAGTACGGCAAAATGTCGACGCCCAAGGTCATCCTGACGCTCATCTACCGCATCGGCAAGCTGCTGACACTGCTCGTCGGCGTGCTGCCGGGCCTCATTCTCTTCGCGCCCGTCTTCATTGCGGCCAAGGTCATCTCGATCCGCAAGGCTAAGCAGGCGCTCGCCGGATCGACGGTCAAGATCCAGGGCCGCGACGTCATGGCGACGTGGAAGCTGATGGTCGCCATCTTCTTCGCGCCGACGCTGTACAACTTTTACTCGGCCGTCGTCACGTGGCGCGTCTACGTCGACCACCTCTGGGGCACGGTGCCGGCGTGGGTGCCGTGGTGGACGGCGTACCTCGTCATGTGGCCGCTCATGGTGGGCATCAGCTTCGCGGCGCTACGCTTTGGCGAGGTGGGCATGGATATTTTCAAGTCGCTGCGGCCGCTCGTGCTGTGCCTCAACCCGGCGTCGAGCTACAACATTCACCACCTGCGCGAACGCCGCGCACAGCTCAGCACGGAGGTCACGGACGTCATCAACACGCTGGGGCCCGACATGTTTCCCGACTTTGACAAGACGCGGCTCGTGGCAGACTCGCAAGGCAGCAGCCGAGGCACGGCAGCCACAGCAGATGGCCGGCCCTCGACGCCGCCATATCAGCAGCAGCAGCAGCAGCCATATGGTCAGCGACGCGACAGCGATGCGTCAAGCAACTACGATGCGCAGACACCGCCGTCGCTCGGACGGCGCAACACGACCATGTCGAGCCGCGGGCTGCCGCGCAACGAGTCGTTCAGCAACATTGGCGGCGTGGGCATCTTCTCGACGCGGCCGCCGTCGCGGTCGAGGAGCCGCAGCCGCAGCAGCAGCAGCGGCGGTGGCTTCGGCTCAGGCGGGTTCCCTGTCAGCGGGTTCACGACGCTCGATTCGCAGGGTGGGTTTGAGGTGGCGAGTAAGAAGATTCGCGAGGCGATGAAGCTGCGCAGGCGGAAGAGCGGCGACGTCAGGAAGATTGAGATTGGCGACGACAGCAGCGAGGAAGACGAGGACGACGAGTACACAGAGGCGAGAAAGAAGACGTAGATGTGCATTGTCTTGGGTACCTAGATGTGGATTCTCTACACCGTGGGGACGGCCCCAGGGGGCAGAAGGTTAGTGGGGGGCCGCGGTATGTGGGGGAGAATCGGAGAATCAAGCGTAGAGGATGTCGTTTGAGATGAGACGAGACGATTCCCGTTGTGTGTCGCGGGCGCGAGTCTAGGCGTTCGGCACGTCGAGTCGGCAGAGGGGTGTACTGCATGAGGCAGTTGATTAATGACAAGTTCCATCCATTCCTAATTCCGGTGTGTAGCCTATTTCGCGTTCCGCCCTTGTCTACCTAGGTACATGTAGCTTGTGGGATGTGGTCATCATGGAGAGTAGGCAACCACAATCCCACATCAGGCTGTCGTGTGTAAAAGGCTGCTGACCAATTCACGTCGACGATGCGACCTGGTGGCTGACATTTGCTGAGCTGCGCCGCGTGTTTTCGGCAACGGGCTGCCGGACAGGGGGGGAAGGAAGATGACTGACGAAGTTTGCTGACCGTTCCGTGCCGAACAAGGTACTGCCTTAGGTACTACCTACCTAAGGTACCTGAGGTAGGTTTTTGGTAATTCAAAGGTTAGGTGCCGCGGGTACGTACTGCGTTATCAGATCCGATGGTCGCAACTGCCCCGCAGTCCCGAGCCGGCGCTGGAAAGACCGACTCGCCCGACGAAGCTTCCCCGAACGAGTCAGCCCAGGGGTCCCTTTTTTTCCGCTCTTTCCATTTTGTTCCTGTATTTAGACACCCACCCGCACGGCACTCGCTCGCTCGGTTGCCGTTGCCTGTTCCTTGCTCGACCCTCGACCCTCGCCCTCGACACTCAACCCTCCACGACGCCTGTTTTGTGCTGTACCAGTTGTCCAGAACACACGGACGCCGTTTCCATCACCATACGACACGTCAGGAAGAGGGACACAAAAAATGGTCTTCGCCTCCCTCGTCGCCGGCGCAAAGCGCCTCGCCCTCGGCACCGGCGGCGCGACGCCCATGCTCGACCTCTTCCCCAAAACGGACCCCGCCGTCGACGGTGACGAGTGCTCCCACGACTGCGAGAGCTGCCATATCAAGTACCCGCGCGGCTTCAAGATTGAGACAGAGGACGCCCTCTACGGCGTGCAAAAGGGCTTCAGCACCCACCTCCTCGTCGCCACCGGCAAGACCGACTGGGTTCGCGAGATTGAGGACGAGAAGGGCAGCGTCATGGAGGCCATTGGCAAGGCCGCGGCACCAAGTAACGGGGTATGCTTCCCTGCCTCACACATTCCCTCCCGACTCCTTCAAAAGTCCACTGTGAACAGCGTCTTGAGCACCATGCTAACGGCCCAGAAACTCATGCTCTCCGCCACAAACATGCCCACGCCCCACGGCACCAGCGACTACGACCAGCCCACCACCGTCCTGCTGCTGCCCGCCTTCACCATCATCGAGAACGTCACGCCGGCCAACGTCCCCGCCCTGCTGACCGAGTTTGTCGAAAAGGCGCCCACCAACACGTCGCCCCTGGAACCCCTGACCCTGCCGCGCTCCCTGCCGGCGCCCGACAGCACCGACGCCCAGGTCGCCGCCCTTGTCCGCCGCCCGAGCCCCCACAGTGCCCTCGTCCTGCTGTGCTCGCAAAAGACGCGCGACGCCCGCTGCGGCCAGTCGGCGCCCCTCATCCGCAAGGAGCTCGAGAGACACCTGCGGCCCCTCGGCCTCGCGCGCGACCTCGACGACCACAGGCCCGGCGGCGTCGGCATCTACTTCATCTCCCACGTCGGCGGCCACAAGTACAGCGCCAACGTTATCGTCTACCGCAAGCCCGACGCTTTCGGCCTCGATTCCGTCCAGAGGGCTACGGCTGGGGGCGACGTCAGGCCAAAGGTTGTGGCCGCCGCGGCGAATGGCGCTGCCGAGACGGAAGAGGAGGAAGAGGGAGATGTCGGTGTCGGGCAGTGCATCTGGCTTGCGCGCATCATGCCCGAGGACTGCGAGAACCTTGTTCGGTATACGATTTTGCAGGGCAAGGTCGTCAAGCCGGAAACGCAGCTGCGGGGCGGCTTTGACCGTGGGAGGGGCGTCATGAGCTGGTGAGCGAGCTGTGAGTGTGTTGCGTGTTGCTGTTGCATGTTGTGCGAGGAACGTCATCTGTCGGGGGGAGATATATACCACAATGTAGATACATAAACTAGAGCCACAGGGCAGGAAGTAGACGCATCACGGAGCTTTGGACATTCATCGACCTTGTCATCAAGGAAGGCAACGTGCCAACGTCTGTTGGCTATATCAGGAATGGCGACTGGTGCAAGAGAATGGTCTTGCCTGTGTTGCACCACGTCTGCCATCAAGGCAGTCAGTACGAAATTGTACGGTCTGCATTTGCGCTGTTGAGCTCAAGAGATCCGAGCACTGCACCGTCTTGTGATTCGGAGAGGAATCGTCGCCAACGCTCCCTGAGATCATTCTGCATGTTATGCAGAGATCCATCTTCGAATCCACAGACGCATCGCTTAGAATTATCATCCGCCGGCGTTCTCCGTGGCAAGGCATCCGCAACCTCCAAGATGGTCCTGGCAAGGGCCTGCCTTTTGTTGTTCGCGTCCGCGAGGCAAGGACTGAGAGCCTTTGACAGCTCCACGAAGGAGCCCCGTAGTCAGCCCCGGGCCACAGAATCATTCTGCATCCCGCTCTCTGTCGGGATGACTAGGATTCTTCATGTTTGCCGATGCAGACGGAATAGGATTGACGATTTGGTTTGGCATGACGATAGGAGAGCAAGATGGGACGCATGTGGCTTGGCTGGGACAGGGTCTATGAACGTGGGCCTGTATTTTCCATCCGTTGAACTAGTTGTGAGCTATGCTTCTTGCGCTTCGAGACTCTATCTGTAGGTGCGCCCCGCGCATTGATGATCGTAGCACCTTCGCATGGGGAATACGCCGCTCTCAGCATTATTTCGTGGACGTTTTGACAAAGGACATCAGCACGGCCTTCTTGGCCCCGAATCCTCCGGCCCGAGCCCACGCCGACTGGGTCGGCTGCGATGGGAACACGAGACGCTGCCCGCAAAGCCTCTGGCGGGCTGGGGCCAGTGAGAGACTTCGGGTTGGACGAGTGGAGAGAAGCTCCGGACGCTGCTTCGACGAGGGGAATCCGGTAGGACTGTCATTGGGCCGTATGTTGAGGAAATGGGTGTAGACCGGAGGAGGGCTGTGAATTTTGGCGTCGGCTGTTTCCAGGTCTCCGTGTCATGCATAGAGTCGAGCCGAGTAGGCTTCAGATTTGATGCCGTCATGATGCTGGGGGCTTCTTGTTATATCATCGTCTGTCGACATGCTCAAGGCTCTTGACCACTTCACGGGGATCTCCGCTGGTTGGTTGCACCGTGGAAGAACGGAACAGTGGATGAATAGTATGCTTCTAGAATTTTCTTCTCGCGCGGGAAAACTCTTGATGACGAAGTCCATGTATGTGAAGCAGGAGTGATGTCTTGAAGCTGTCAACCGGAGCTATGCATATGCCCAAGATGCCCCACCAGTTTGCCCCACTGCCCATTCAAGAGCACACACAGTACCTAGGTACCTGTCGAGGACCACAGAGCCCCTCCACGGATGATGGGGAGCTCCAACTTCAACCTCAACCTCAACATACCTACCTTGGTCTATCAACCACCAACACCGCACTGCGCCTAGCAACACCACCGACCATGGCCCAGCCAAAACCCCCCTTCGTCTTCCCCCGCGAATACTCCTTCCCCCCCTTCTTCACCCGCCAGACAAACCTCACGACCCACCACGCCCAGCTCGAGAAATGGTCCGCCCTCATCCTCGCCTACACGCAGCACCACCGCATCTTCAAGCTGACGCCCCCCTCGGCCGCCTCGTCCTCGGCCGCAGCAGCGGACCCCAGCCTCCTGCCGGCCGCCGCGACGGCCAACACCACCCACCACAACACGGACGACCTCTTCCACAACAAGACGCTCAACCGCCGCCTCGGCCCCGCCGACGCGCGCGAGGTCCTCGACGCCATGCGCCGCGACGGCCGCGCCGAGACGGTCGCCCGCGACGGCGACGCCGTCTGGGTGTACTGGCGCACGCCCGAGGAGTGGGCCGCCCTCGTCGAGGCGTGGGTCGACGACACGGCGCAGAAGGGCGTCGTCGTGACGCTGTATGAGCTGACCGAGGGGGACACCTCCCTCGGCACGGGTGCGTCCTTTTTCTTCTTTTTTTTTTGTCTTGACACCTCCTTGGCAGGCAGGCAGGTGGCCTTTTGACAACACACGCTAACGAGGGCCTCGCGGGGGCGGCGGGACACAGAATTCCACGGCATGGACCCTGATCTCCTGCTCAAGGCGCTGCAGGTCCTCGCCAAGCGGGGCAAGGCGCAGGTCTTCGGCCAGGACGACTCGCTCGGTGTCAAGTTCTTCTGAGGGCGAGAAAGCGTCAAACAGGCAGAGCAAAACGGGTCTTCAGAAACGGACGTGCTTGGGAACGACATGTTCAAAATGGTATGACACAATACGGACGTGAACAAAAAAGACGACCGCGCCCATCAGCCCAGGCCTCGTCCATCCCGGAGGGCTGCGCGCAGCCTGCCATGTCCCTACAAACACCTCGACGCCGAGTTCATGCACATGGCCACGTAATCCCACACACACACACACAAACACACACCTTTTTCGCTTGCCCCCCGTCCCCCTTCCCTGTCCCGGTCTCATGATCCTTGCGCAGGCAGATACACACCCCAATTAATGCTTGAAAAAGTTGACGGCGAGATACTTCTCGTCAAACGAAACACGCTGCGTCATGGCCACGTCCAGCAGCCAGTCGGCCGCCACGATCCGCGGCTCCATGTGGCCCCGCTCCGCCATGGCCTCAAACTTGGGCCACAGCTTCTTCTCCTCGGCCGTGTCCGACGTGAGCAGGTACACCGGGTCCGGCGCCGCCCCGCCGTCCTCCTCGGCCGTCGTCGGCTTGATCGTCGTGCCGCTGCGCGCGTTGTACGTCAGGAACTGAGCCCCGTTGGCCTGCACGATGGGCTGGAAGCTCTCGGGCCCGTTGCGGATCCCCGACGTGCAGTAGATGGGCAGCCCGCGCAGGAGGTTGCCGTTGTTGGCGCGCGCGCGCGACACGGCCGTCTGCAGCGGGACGCCAAATTTGGCCTCGTTCTCCTCGTCCACGAGAATGTGGTCCGTCGGATCGGGCGCCATGCCGTCCGTCAGCGCCGTCTCGATAAAGTCGGACGACAGGATGGTGACGCCCTTGGCGAGGGTGCGGAGGAACTTGACGGTGCGGACCATGAAGGGCGCCGCCAGGTAGTCGCACGGTTGATTCTCCGAGACGATGTGAATGCCGAGCTCCCGTAGTTTCCTCTGTTCCCAGGTCAGCACGCCCCATCAAAATACAAGAGCACATCTCGTTCACCCCAGATTTCTCGCACGGGAAAAACTCACCTTTTCGACGTCCTCCTTGTGCTTGTCGTTGAGCCATCGCGAGAACCCCGTCAGCATGACCTTGATGACGCCGTCAGGCTTCGACGACCGCCGCCTCTTGGCCGCGCGCTTCTCCGCCACCTCGTCATCATCCGCCTGCGCCGGGCTCGACGTCCGCGCCTCCTGGTCGCGATCGAGCATGTCGGCCGCGCGCTTGCCGCCCCACATGCCGTCCTTGCTCTTGCGATTCTTCTCCTTCTCGTACAGCGCAATGTCGGGCGCGATGCGCTGCAGGTTGCTCAGCGCCTTGCTCTTGGCGCTGCGGCCGCCGGTCGACCTCGCTGTCGGTGTCTCGTTCTCCTTGCCGCGCACGGGCATGTTCCGCGCGGGCGTAGCGAACGGCTCTTCCCCCGGCGGCGCCGACACGCCAAACTGCTTCCGCGTCTTCTCGGCGTACTCGTCCGCCTCGTCCTGCAGCACGTCAAAGTCCCGGTGCTCCTGACGGCCGATGACGGCGCCCTCGGCGGGGCCGCTCTTGTAGGCGTTGTCCTGGGCGGCGTCCAGGATTTTGCGCTTCTTCGCGGCCCGCGGCGACGACTTGCGGACCGCCGCGCCGCCGGGGTAGAACTTGTCGCGCAGCTGCGCCTCGTCGAAGAAGGTCTGGCCGATGATCTCGCCGAGGTTGGTCCGCGGCGGAAAGTGCGCGTACTTGCCCACGGTGACGGGCTGCTTTTCGCACTTGGCGTAGCTCTCCTCGATCCACAGGTGGTTGATCGTCTCGATGCCCCAGTCCTTGGCGGCCTCGTACTTCTCGCTGCTGTCGCGGGCCGTGATGAGATGCGTGTTCTCCGTCTTCATCGTCTTGGTATACGTGGCACCGCAGGCCTTGATGAGATTCTCGAGGTAGATGCGGGACTCTCCGCCGTAGTTGGAGACGCAGATGCGCAGGTCCTGGAACCCGTCGATACCGCCCCGGGGTACGGGGTAGTGCAGCAGGCGGCGGAGTGGGGACGTCCACTCGTTGCGCGAGATGAGGTGCATCAGCCACGCCAGGTTGCCGACATCCTTGCCGAGCTGGGCGGCTCTGATGTAGTCTGGACCGTCGCGGTACTGGCAGATGTACATGTCGCAGTCCTCGACCTCGGCGACCATTTCGCCGCCGCCCTGCGTGATGCGCGAGCGGCATATGGCGTGGGCCTTTTTGGTGATGTTGAGATCGCTCGAGATCATGACGGCCTTCCCTTGAAAGATGATGGACGGCTCGACGTGTCCCTTGACGGGCGGGAAGCTCTCGGGGCTGGGATTCGCGTCGGTGGCGCCCTCGAGGTTCTTCGTCTCGGGGAAGCCAATCTCGTCGCTGGGGTCGGCGAGGAGGATCTCGGGATCCGGCAGGAGGTAGGGCGTTTCGTCGATGCGCTTGCCGAGCTTGAAGCAGTCCTCGAACCTGTGAACGTCATGAGCGTGATGCGTCCGGGGAGGAAAAAGAGGGAGGGGTAAAAGGACGCCTTTCTGCGAGACGACTCTTTTCCGTACCAGTGTGGCAGCACGATTTTGACCTTGAGCTGCTTCTGCACGGCCGTCTGACACTTGGGATGGTCCATGGTCAGGGCGCAAATGTGCGTCGTCAGGCGCGTAATGTCGGGCGACTCCATGCCGCCGAGGGCCAGGGTGGCGCCGATGATGGTCTCCTTGTCAATGACGGGCAGGTCGGCGCACGACAAGGTGACCTGGGAGAAGATCATGCGGGGGTCGGGCGAGTGCGGGCGGACCTGGGCCTGCTTGCCGCGATGCAGCGACGAGGAGATCCACTGGTGGGTGACGACGGGGATCATGTAGGCTTGGCTGTCGGTGAACTGCTTGAAATCGATCGTGTTGGAGATGATGTGGGTGACGTTCTCCTCGATGCGAATGGAGCCATCTTCGGCCGGTTCCAGGACGGTGCCGCCATGCTTCTCGAGGATCTGGGTGAAGGAGCCGATCTGGGTCGGTGTGAGCAGCGAGCTCGGGACAAAGGCGAACGTGCATTCGCCAAAGAGGGGTGCCATGGCGGAGAGACAACAGAGGGCGACGATCGATGCCTGGAAGATTGCCAATGGCAGGACGTCGAGAGGTTGAGGGCGTGGTCAGGCCGTTTGTGTCGCGATGCGGATGATGGGCAGGAGGGAGGGTGAGAAAAAAAAAATACCGTCTCGGTACATGCAGCAGCAGGGTCAAGGCGAACGAATTGATTGCTGTCACGCTCGCTGGGCTGCCTTGCGTCGAGGTCTGACAGGGGACGGCATGGATTTGTTTAGGCGACGACGCGGTGGAAATGGGGCCTGGACCGTGTTCGTGCCAGCGGGGCGCGGCGCGACGCGAAAGTCGAGGCGGGTGGTCACGTGGGTGATGAGTGGCACTTACACTTGGTCCCTGTGGTCTGGGTGGTTCCAGTGGTCCCTTGAGGTGGTTTCTACAGGTGGTTTCTACAGGTGGTTCCTACAGGTGGTTCCTACAGTGGTCCCTTGAGGTGGTCCCTGTGGCCCTTACCGCGGCGCTTTGCAGCCCTTCTGTCCGTCTGCCCCTCTGCCTTCTTCCCCTGGCTGTGCCTGGCCTGGCGCGGTACGTCCCCTTTCCAGGGGCACCCGCAGCCCGCGAACCAGAACTCTGGAAAAATCGGACCACACCATCCCATGTGACGCGTCTCCAGCCTTGGATGGCTTCATCTGGTGCTGTAACAAAGATGTACTTCTGCAGCATAGACCATGGACAGATGTACATGTACAGGCAAAGTCGACACCATCACGTGAATGATTTTTCAATCCTTTATCGTATGCTCATCGTTTGCGAGTACGAAGCATCCAGAATCGATTTGCATACTGTATCACCGTCTGAAGCCAGTGGCTAATCCATTGATAGCCTTGATCACGCATCGCATCTGGGTCCCGCAAGCTGCATGCCATGCATCTACACGTCCGATCGAGCCAAGTGCCCATGATGCTCCAGTTCCGCCGGCCGAGCCGTGTGGCATTTCATAACGCCGTGTGGCTTCCACAAACGCAACCGCTCGGGTTCTTCGCTCGTACTACCCAAAGATGAATTCCACTCGACATGCAGAATCCCAGCGCTCGTGTCCGGACCCCTTGGACGTCTGCGCCACCGAGGCCCTGGACCCCGGCGCCCAAGCTTTCTGCTGCCTCCCCCTCCGAAACCCTGAACCCGAATGCGAGCCTCAACTTTTGCCCGCCCTCACATAGACCGCCTTGCCAGCCTCGAGCCACCTCCGCTTGCCCTGCCGATTTGGCTCTTCCATTCTTTCCGTCTCCTTGCGTTGAAGCGATTTCTTGTGATACCCCCGGAAAGAGGAAAGGAATACGCCCAGAAGGAGGAAAAGAAATTACCCCCAGAAAGAGGAGAGGGAAAAAAAAAAGGCAGTGAACAATGGCTGCACCACCTTGGAGCAAGGCCCAGACCCACGAGCAATTCTTCGTCCTCATCACAGGCGCAAACAGGTACGTTCCCCATTTGCGTCACGGCCTGACGACCCCAAAGCTTCGACGCAACAAGCCCAGCAGTGCTGACGTGCCAACAGTGGCATCGGGTTCGGTACGGCAGAGCGCATCATTGACGAATTCCTCGCCTCCCGCTCTCTTTCCTCCCACCTCATCCTCATCCCCACGACCCGCGACCTGCGCAAGTCCCGGGAGACGGTCGAGTCCCTTCGAACCCACCTCCACAAGACGGCGACGACCTCGAAAGCCCTCGCCGCCCGCGCCGGCCCCTCCTACAAGCCGCAGGACACCATCGACCGCGTCCACCTGCTCAGCGTGCAGCTCGACCTGCTCGACCTGCGGAGCCCCTATGCCGTCGCCCGCCAGCTCGTGCACGGCACCGTCGGCGACCCCACCGACGCCGACAACACCCAGTACAAGGTGCCACGCCTCGACGCCGTCATCCTGAACGCCGGCATCGGCGGCTTCAAGGGCGTCGACTGGTTCAAGCTGGCATGGCGCTTCCTCACCCGCGGCATCGTCTACATGTGCTGCTTCCCCGACTACAAGATTGCCATCCCGGGTCTCTTGGCGCCCCAAAAGCCGGCTCACCCGGATGAGGTACACAAGCCCCCCCCTCTCCCCTCTTTCCCCTTGCCGTCGATGTCCTTCCTGAAGAGACGAGCTGACACATCCGTGCACAGCCCGCCCCTCCGCCCGTGGGCCAGGTCTTCTGCGCCAACGTCCTCGGTCACTACATCCTGACACACGAGCTCATGCCGCTCCTGAGCCGCGACGCCGCGACCGACGGCGACCTCCCCGCCGGCCGCATCGCCTGGACGAGCAGCATCGAGCCCGTCAGCGAGTCGCTCGACCTCGCCGACTTCCAGGGCATCCGGAGCCTGGACCCCTACAGCAGCTCCAAGCGCATCACCGACCTCCTCGCCCTAACCTGCCGGCTGCCGGCGGCGCAGCCATACGCCGCGGGCTTTTTCCAGGTGTCCGCCGACGCCGACGACGACTCGTCCCCCGAGACGAAGACAAAGACGAAGACGAAGACGAAGACGAAGCAGGGCCCGAAAGCAGCGGGGCCGGGCCCGAGGAAGACGCCGCCGTCCATGCTCGTCACCCACCCGGGCATCGTCCACAGCACCTTCTTCCCCGTGCCGGGCTTCCTCGTGTCCCTCTACTGGCTGGCCCTGCTGCTCGCGCGCTGGTGCGGCTCGCCCTGGTTCCCCGTCGACCGCTACCGCGGCGCCAAGGCGTCCGTGTGGGCCGTGCTGCAGGACGACGACGAGCTCGCCGAGCTCGACGCCTGCGCCATCAAGTGGGGGTCCGCCGCCGACGCCCGCGGCCGCACCTACGTCAAGAAGACCGAGGTCGAGGGCTGGGGCTGGGAGGGCCGCGTCGAGGACGACGACGCCCTGCGCAAGGACCCGGCCGTCGGCGTGCTGCGCAAGCTGCGCGGCCGCCGCCCCACCGCCGTCGTGCTGACGAGGGAGGCGCGCGAGGCCTTTGAGGAGACGGGCGCGCGGTGCTGGCAGGAGATGGAGAGGTTGCGCGTCTTCTGGGAGGCGAGGCTCGGCGTGCGCGATGGGGCGGCTGGGCCTGGCGCTGCCAGTGGGCATGGTGCCAGCAGGTGAACGGCTGCGGCAAGGAAAGGTGTTGGCGAGGAAGGCTTGGCCACCTGGTTGCCCCTGGTAGAGGTACGGCTGGTAGAGGTATGGCATTGCACGAGGAAGATGACGAGAAATCCGCAGAGTCAACAGAAGGACGGCAGCAGCGAGCACTTGGGGCATATACAGGGTATTTTTTTACTTATATAATAGCTAATTAGATCAACAACGTCATCCTTTCCCCTTGGGCTGGCCTGTCGGACAAAATCCATTCTCAAATCAACCCCCGAAACACATCGGCTCACGCCGACGACAACGCCGCCGTATCTGATCGAACGCGCCTGAGGCTGACTTTGTCGGCGCGGCCAAAGAGACCGAGGCACAGCGGCAGCGGCGCGATGAGCACGGCGACGACGGCCTGGAAGATGAGGGCCTTCTTCATGTGCAGCGGCGGGTCGGCCTCGGGGCCGGCCTGCAGGGCGTCGGAGATGAGGATGAAGCAGCCGCCGAGCAGCTGACCGCCGGCCCAGGCGATGACGCTCGTGACCTCGGGGCTGATGGGGTGGCTCATCTCGGAGAGGAGCTCGAGGGCGACGGGGACGAGGGCGAAGCTCGCGGCGCCGAGGAGCGAGAGGATGGCGTAGGGCCCGGCGACGCCGCGCGTCTCGGGCATCCAGACAAAGGCGAGGTAGGCGATGGCGATGATGGGGACGGCGCACTTGATGGACAGCAGGAAGGCCTTTGTGCGGTCGAGGATGGGCGACGTGACGGCGGCGACGACGAGGCCGACGACGATGAGGAGGGCGCCGCCGATGCCGGCCTCGTCGTCGGAGAGGCCGTAGGGGTTGAGCATCTGGTTGAGCAGCGACGAGCACGAGTTGAAGAAGCCGACGTAAAAGGCAAAGGGGATGAGCAAGAGCCAGAGCTCGAGGGAGCGCGAGGCGGTGCGCAGCGAGGCCATGAGGGGCAGCTTGGACGTCAGGGCCGAGGCCGAGGCCGGCGTCGGCGGTGCGGCGGGGACGAAGAAGGCGGGCAGCGCGCAGACGGACGACTTTTTTGGAGGGGGGATTTTGTCAGCATGACTGGGCGTGTCGGATGCAGAGGGAGGAACTCACAATGATGGAGACGTAGAGGACGCCTTGGGACATCTGCGACGGCTTCTCGACCATGAAGGGCACCACGAGCTGACCGATGGCGGCCCCGAAGGGGTTCGCCAAGCTCATGAGAGCAGTGGCGCCGACACGTCCACGGTTCGAAAACCACAGGTCCGAGTACCGAGTCGGCGCCGCCAGGACGAAGGGCTGGGCGAGACCGGTCAGGATCTGGCCAAACATGACGACACCGTAGGTGCCCCCTTTGCTGGAATGCGATCCAGCGTAGCGCACCCAGTTGCCGACGAGCACGAGGGCGGCGGCGACCATGATGGAGAGCTTGGGCCCCATGTGCAGGACCTTGATGGTCACGGGCGAGATGACGACAAAGGAGAAGAGAAATGCCGTCGAGAGCCAGTTGATCGACGTCTCGGTCACATTGTAGTACGTTGCGGCGCTCGAGGCGACAGGCGCAAAGGTGAGCCACTACCGCCACGAGGTGCGTCAGCAATTGCTCTTGTATTTCGACAATCGTTCTTCCTGCAGGTGCGGCTCCCTTCTCATTCGCTGCCTTGTCAGGGGAAACGGAGAGACGAGAACGACAAGCTGGTCTCGCCAAGCTGTCGGTTCGACTTGTCACATAGCCTTGCGGACAGCAGCGCAGCTGTAGGGCTGAGAGGTGTGTGTGTGTGTGTGGAATGGAACGACGACGACTTACATCCCAGCTCACAATAATGTTGAGCAATGTCAGCTGCGCGACGCCGAACCAGCGGCGGCGGTAGGTGCGGTAGTCTGTGACCTGGCCGTCGGCGATGCTGTCGCGACCATCACGGTCGAGATCGAGGTCCTCCTTTTGGACGGCGGACGACTGGGTGGCGCGCAGCTGGAGCTCGATGGTTTCGCTCTTGTCGGCAAGACTCAGCGAATTGTCGCTGTGACGGCCTGGAGCGGCGGCCATCTTGTCGTCTGGCGTCGTGGGATTGTTGGCGGAAGAAGTCACGATGGCATTGTCGTCTGAGGGGGGTTGATGTTGGGGACTGGACGTGAGGAGACCCATGGTGCCTGCGACGATGCGAAAGCGAAGAAGCCCACTGTACTGAGTTTCGTCCAGGGGACACGCTGGGGGTGGATCTTTCAGGGGACCTGCTAGCGGGTCTCGTGCCAGTGCTATACTTGTTCCCTAGGTGGACCTAAGCAGGAACCTAGGCAGGACCGAGGGATGGGGTCCCGTTCGTAAGGCGTGACAAGCTTTGATGGTAGGACAAGGGGAGCAATGCGAGAGGGGGCAACACGATGCACCTGTCGAGCAGTGTCCTCACGCGACAGAGTTTGGGTGTTTGTCCGGAAAACTCCGAAACCGAAACACAAACAGAGCAGAATTCTCGACCTAAACATTCAAAGGTGAATCGAAGAGAAAAAGGGGGGGGGGAGATGGCGGGTAAATAAGACAAGGGAAATCTTGGATGATAAGCCCTCTCGCCTACCTACCTACCTGGTAGGTACCCTAACCTACCTACCTTCCTACCTGCGCCGCAAGACCAGACAGACAAACCCTCACCTTTGAACCGACCCTCCCTCCATCAACCCTGGTCACCCCAAGCTTCACCGGCAGCTTCTACTGCTGCTGCTCCTGTCGTTGGGCCCAGTGCCAGACTGTGTGCATCGTTGTGCACCATCCGACCCCCTCACGCGCCCTATCGCCAACCCCAAGGATGCGTCCCCCCCTCACAGCAATCCCAGTCGAGAGCTGTCGCCAAGGTCAGAAGGGTCTAGCTCGTCGCTCGATTTGGACACACGGTCCGTCGACGTCGCATGGGAACGACGACGAGCCGCGGCATGGCGCTCCATTCTGGGTCGACATGTGGAGAGCCGTTGTTGTCTCTGGATTTGCGGGGGAGAGACAAGGGGGTCATATGGCCTGTCTCGTGCCTCGACCATCTGTACGCCCCCCCCTTCCGGCTGTCGGCACATCTCCTCACGTTCTTGAAACGGACGGTACTGATCGGCGGGTGATGATCGTTGATAAGAGTCAAGAGCCGCACGAGCCGAGGGGGGAGCAAGAAGGGACGGGGTCGACCAGGCCTGCGTCGAATTGGTGTCTCTGAAAGCTATCGTGATTGCGCCTGCGGGAAGTACTCTCCTCAAAACAGCGCCTGCGGAAAGTCACTCTTCTCAAAACAGCCAACATCCTGATCGCTAGACTGACAGACTGTCGGGCGGCAGAGCCCTCTGCCGTGGCACATCCACGTTGTCCTCTGCCTCTGAGGGCTCGAGATCATGTCGTCTCATTGCTCGGGAAGGGCAAGGTTGTATGAAAAGCTGCGTTGATTCTGCAATGCGACAGACTTGCAACCGTCAACTCTCCATGGTGGAGGAGCTTTCATATCTGCGCTTGGGTTGATATGCCATCCGTGTGCCGCGCATACCATGACCGATCTCTCCATCATCATCACGACTCCGAAGCGGCCAACATACCACGCACCCAAGCGTATACAACAGGGTTTCCAAATACTAATCACAGATAGTTTCAGTCTACTTGTGACACTATCCACTTTTCGTTGAGATACTTCCAATAGCTTCATCACATGCGGAAACCCCCATCTTCGACGGTCTCAAGTCAGCCAGCTCATACCACACCAGACTTATGCTGACCAAATTATCAAGCATCAGACTGGCCCCCGACAAAGCTGCTCGCTGGCGGCCCGAGATAACTTGCCTGCAGCCCACCTACATCCACAACAATCTTCTCCAAGTTCAGCTCATTGCTCAAAGGACGGTAGCGTACGACATGAGGTCCAGAAAGGTCACCTGTCAGTGTGAAATCGTGCTGTCGGGTCCAGACTCCGTTCATCACGGCGTCGGCCCAGCCCTTGGGCAGATCGCCTCGCCCAGGACTATTCAGCAGCTGCACGCCCGTGCTCTCGGCATCATCAAACGCAATGTCATACTTGATCGGCGTGTCGGGGCGGACCTCGAGGACAGTGGAGAAATACAGGGTCACGGACACAGCCTTGGGCTCCGAGAACAGGTAAATCGGATACTCGAGGTATGATGCCCCCTCCGGATTCGCCGTCAGCTGAAGAGACACAGATCCGCGCTCCACTCGGCCGAGCTTGGGAAGCTGGCGGTACACCTTGGCCAGCGAGGCATCGAGGTGCGCATCGCCGGCTTCGATCGAGACGATGCCCGCGGCTTCGACGAACGCTCTCTGGTCATCCGGGATCCTGCGGCTGTCTACCGGCAGATGGACTTGCTCAAAGTATCCGGCAACGGACCGCACGCTGATGGGGACCACGCCCTGGAAGTCTTTGGGCGCGGTATCCCAGTTGATCGTAACCTCGACCCGCGCGTCCTGCTTGTCATCGGGCAGCAGTGTGCCGCTCGCCGGAGACGCCTGGATCCAAGACTCGCTGGGCTCAACAGTCCACTCAATCTTCTCGATGCCACGGGCGAAGATCTCGAAGTAGTAGCTCTGAGGCCCGTACGGGCTGAGCTTCGGCAGTGTGAAGCCCGGCACGAGGTTGCCTGTCGAGGGGTGCGTGCGGTCGCACTCTTCGTTTGCCAGCCCCGGCCGGACACCGCCGTGGCCCTGCACGGCTACGCCCACTTGGCCGGCGATGCGCGTCGACTTTCGTCGCGTCTGCACGTAGGAAAGCCCCGTAATCATGTCCCTTGTTGGGGCGTGCCATGTGGTGGGATCGTATCCATAGCGCGGCTGGCACATGATGTGGTTCCACTTGTCGCCGAACCACGGGTTGTCGTGATACTCATCTTCGAGGTCGTAGTCTTCCTGAAACAGATCCAAGACACGCTGGGCCAGAACATTGGTCGTGTTGCGTCTCTGTAGGCCGTAGAGCTGGTTCAGCGCCTGCGTCACCCGCAGCTCGGTGCAGATCCGGGATGCCTTGACTGGGTGGAGGACGAGCTGATACGCGGCCGCTTTCTGGGCATCGGGCACCGCCTGGAAGATCTCCAGAGCCTGTGACTCCAGAGCCTTCCACCGCTGAACGATGGACTCTGCTTCTCGGTTGTGCACGACCGAGAACGTGTCCGTGTCAATGTGCTCGTGACGGCGAAGCCCGACGAGACGATCGTGTCCCGCGAGCACGTCTGCGATCTGCTGCGCATGGTCTGTCCCGAATTCTCGGAGTGCGTATGTCGAAAAGTAGGATGAAATGGCGGAGTGGTCCACCGCGTTGATGTTCCAGGCCAACGACAGTGCAAAGCTGCTCGACGCTTCCATGGGCTTGATGTCGCCAACGTTGAACACCCAGACACGGTCAATCCCGCTGGCATGAGCGGCCTTCAGTTGCTGTTGAACTTTGCCCTACGGAGTGTCAATGTATGCCTCCCAAGCAAAGCGTATCACATGCCGCGCGAACCGACCTGGGGTCTGTCTTACCAAGGAAGTGCAGTGAAGCCACTTGTAGCTTCGCGGATGGCCCACGTACTCAAGATGATAGTATAGCTATCGCTGCGAGTCAGAATCTGGAACTCTCCCAGACACACATGGTACTCAACTTACACCGGCGCCTCCGCTTCTCTTCCTTTCCTCCTCCGTCGGATACCGACGAACGTTGCCAAAGTTGTCGTCGGCAAACAGCAGCGTCACGTCCTCTGGCACCTTCAAGCCCTTCTCGTACATCTGCAACGCCTCCTTGTACAGAGCCATCAGTTCTGTCGGACGGTTAGCGACGTCCCGAGACCGCAGTCTCTTGCGCAAGGCTTGACTCACGCGGCGTCCCGTCTGGCGTCCCGTGCACACGCTCGATCATCTCCCTCTGGCTGTCGAGGACATCTTGCAACGTGCCCTGGGGATCCTCTGCGATCATCTTCTTGTCGCCCTCGCCGCGCATGCCCATTGTGATGACGGATTCATAAGGCTTGGCGCGCTCGATGCCCGTTTCAAAGTGTTCGGCCACGGCCTCCTTGTTCGTCTCCCAAGACCACACGCCCTTGTTGGCGGTTCTCCACTCGGTCATGTCCCGCTGCATGGGCTCGTGGTGAGACGTCGACATGACGATGCCGTACGTGTCAGCGAGGGGCTGGTTCAGAGGGTCATCAGTGAAGAAGGAACTCCCAGGCCAGGGGAAGCCGGACCACATGGCAGGCCAAAGAAAGTTGGCCTATGATGATGATGCATGCTGGTCAGTGACGGAGGATATGAGAAACAAAGGACACGACGCGTGGGGTTCCCTACCTTCATGCGCAGCAGCAGTTCAAAAACGCGCTTGTAGAACTCTGAGCCATAGTTCACGCCGTACTTCTCGTGGACCCATGCGGTGAGGGCCGGTGCCTCATCGTTGATGAAGATGCCGCGGTACTTGACGCTCGGTTCGCCGTGGATCGTGGGCTCAGACACGGCATACACTTGCGAGTGCTTCTTGATGGGAACGTCGGCCCACCAGTACCATCTTTTCTACATGTTAGCCAGAAACATTTTTTTTGTATCTTGCCAATGCGAAAGAAGCAGACAGCAAGACGTCATCTAGATCCCGGGTTCGCACGTACGGTGACACACCAGCCTGCTCGGTCAGGGTATAGCTCGCGAAAATGGCACCGCGCTTGTCGCTGCCCGCGAGGACAAAGACGCGCTTCGCAAAGGACCAGGGGCTGTCCTCGACGTGGGTTGAAAACGTCTCCCATTTGCCCTCGAGCGACCGAACCCGCTGCGTGCCCTCTTGGCCGAGCTCCTGGAGGAACTTGCACCTGGCAAGGCTGCCGACGAGGATGACGCCGTCCACGGCGCTCTGCCCTTCCGTCGTGTTCAGCAATGCGGAAGGCTTGCCAGTGACGGACTCAAGATCGCGGGCCAGGTTCCTGATGGCGATCTGGGTTCCCTCAAACTCGTCCCTGTCAAAAAGGACGGGGAGGCCGGCGAGGTCCAGGGCGCCGTGCGCGGCATCGAAGCCGATGATGGATGTTTCAAACATGGGCGCCGGACGGGGAAACTCATGCACAAATGCGTAAATGCACCCTGACTGTGATCAACGAGAGTTGCTGCAACAAAACAGGCAGCACAATCAGCAACCGATGATTCGTGCCACGGGGACCGACCCTCGACAGGACCACGGGACCGCGGATGATATACCCCGCACTCGTAAGACTTTACCCCGATGGCCGAACAGTTGGGACGGGCATGGCCCGTCCAAGTGCTCTGAAGGAATACCGGTGGACACACGTTGTCTGGGTCGGGCGTCGCGGAGTGAGGAGCTAAGGGCGCCTGCGTGGGCCGAGGCGTTGCCGATACCGGCCGGCGATCCCATCGGCTTCGCCTTGCTTTTGCCGGGCTCCGGAGACCGTGTGCCGACCGAGCAGCACCAGACGAACGAACCAGCCAAACACGCATTTACTCCGTTTCAGTACATCCTGTGCGATGAGCGCAGCAAGATCCATGATGCTTATTGCTTTCATTTCCAACAGGTGTAGGACAAACCCAAGAAATTCGTCGTTGTGTCAGACTCGCCAACCGTTTGATCAGTCGGGCGTCCACGCTTTGTCAAAGCCTTCCGTGCCTGTGCAGTCAGGCGTGTAGGCCTCACTCAGGACATTCGTAGAATGCAGACTCCTCGGTGGACTCATCATGAATTGGTGAAGCCGAATGAGCCAGAAGATTTCTTTTCCTCGAGTCAACGCAAGGCGTTTTAAGGTAGCATCAAAACAGGACACTATGAGAATGCTGAGCCTTGGAGGCAATGCCAGAGAAGCTCGCCTGACGAAGTCGCACCCAGCACATTGTGAACGATGTCACAAAAACAACAAAAGACACGGAGGCTGACCGATTGCACGTACCCACTGATTCTTGACGTCGACCCTAGACCCAGACACGTTGCATCGAAAGCAGCAAAGAGTGTCCAGTTCTGGTCTGTTCCGCCAAGATGGAGCTGCATGTCATTCTAGAAGTGAGCATCATCAGTGATTCGAACCGACATAGCTGCACAGCCGACAGGCTGTATCGATCACGATTTCTGTCCTGCAGACGAAGCGGGTAGAAGAAAACTACACGGCCCAACCCTGTTGGGAAGATGGCCGCCTGGGCCATCACTACGGACTCGGCATGGCTTGCGGCGTTTGGAGGCTGTAGCCTTGACTACTAGGTTCGTGTGTCAAGTTGGAACCAGCTGAATAAGGAGGTCATGGGTATGACTCTCGACCGTTTCGAGGGTATGCTACATCGACTTTGCGAGTGCAACAGGCATAAGACACTTCTTTCGTTGATTCTCCACGTCCGAAACACAGAGTCGTAAGGCAGAGGAATCTATTCTCAGGCGACGCAGTCGTATTTTACACAAGACAACGGCATAACCACGCGACACGCGCCACGCAGCACACTATACAGGGGGGGTTGGAAGAAGCCGCCGTCTCACGATTTCCCGGCTCCCCCAGAGGTCGTAAGAATTCGTTCGTGGGATGGTCAAAATATCATGGTTCCAGGAATCGAGGTGGGGGGGGGGGAGAAGGGTCTTCAGACAGCCAGGCGGATGGGAGCGAGCTGTTTATTTGAGCTTAGACCACAGCTTGGGCGCAGCGCAGGCGGTAGCGCAGTGGGCAAGGTGGAAGACTAAAGATCATGTCAGCAAAGAAAGATTGACCCATCGTCGCGGCAGAAGAGGAAAGACGTACACTCCTCAACGCAGTCCTCCTTGGCACCGCCCTCCTCGTCCTGAGCGGCCGTGACGCGCGCGACGCAGTCGTCGTAGTGGTGCTTGGGGCCGGCGCACTGCTTGGACTCCACACACTCTGCAATCCGGTCAGCGGTCTCCTCTACCTTCGGTCTGGAATGGCATCGTGTGGTTGCAGCGCAGCGTGTGAAGGGGGGAGGGGAGAAAGCGTGCGGGCGGGAGAACCATACCTTCCTCGAGCTTGGTCTTGGGATCCTCGAGCTCCTCCTCCTCCTCCTCTTCCTCTTCTTCCTCCTCTTCCTCCTCAGCCTCGCCCTCCTCAGACTCGGCCTCGGCCTCGGGCTCCTCAGAAGCCTCCTCGTCCTTCGCGGGCTCCTCGTCCTTGGTGCTGGTCTCCTCGGTGGTCTCCTCGGTCTGCATGTGAAAAAAAAGAAAACTCGGTCAGATTCGTCGTCTTCAATGCGTCTCGCACAAGGGACTCGGGACGATGGTATTCGACAATGGACCTCGGCGCTGGCGCGCCGACAGGTCATACGATCGCCCGTCTGCCCGGGAAATATTTTGCGCGCATACCTTCTCCTCAGCCGCGGGCGCCTCGGCCTCGACGGTGCTCCAGGGCGTGACCGCCTCGACGAGGTCTGTGAAAGCGTCCCAGATACCCATTTTCGATTGTTGTGGATTCGTGATGAGCGATTGGCGGTGGTCGGGCGTTGCGTGGTTCCGTCTCTTCGGGGGCAAGGGAATGGAAGAAGTCGGGAGCTTCTCGGTTGGGAGCAGGTTGGAAAAGTGATCATGAATTGAGGGGCTTTGATTGGCCGGGCTGTTGATGCGTCATGACTAAGAGCACGTGACTGCACGAGTGGTCTGAGCTGAGCAAGCAACGCCCAGACACATGTTGACTACAACTTGAATTGCCTGGAAACGCCTAGAGTACAAGGCATTGTAGACACCCACCTCATGCGACTGGGGCAATCGGCAGCTTTCTCACTACAGCATTTTCAATGACTGACATGAAGAAGTCGACGTGCACGCCCGCATTCGCAACGAGGCAGCTCACATGTGCTGACCTTACAAAATGTCCCAAGGCATTGGCAGTTACATACGTGATAGGTGACCAAGCTTGCGATATACAACACCTCGTGCAGAGTCAATTGCGTTCGGTACTATGTGAACTGAACCGCATCACGTCGCATCGAGTAAAGAAGGCTTCCTCCCTCGCTATGTCAGATCTGCCACCATAAAGAAACTGGTCAACGGAACAAATAAAAAAGAACAAGATGCAGTTTGTACCGGCCGGTGTGAATTCTCAAACCCAAAGACTCCAGTCGTAATTCCCATCATGTCTCGTGCGCGATAATGCTCTTCAAATCAATGACAAGCCGCAACGAAGCCCTACGAACGATCAGCGCCGTCCCGTATGTGACTCTCGAGCCGCATGCCGATCTGCTGGGCCTGGGCCTCGTCATAACCTGGTGGCGGCTCATTTGGTCGCTGATTCTGGCTCGCTGAGCTGGCAGATCGTGGCAGTGAAGCAGGCAACGGGGCGCTCAGGTTGGGTGCGCCTGTTGTTCCCTCGGTTCGCGCCTCGTAAGCTGGCAACGGCTCGTCAGGAATGTTGATTGTCTGACCAGTCTCTTGCTGTAGCCGCCTGACGTGCTCCATGCGCTCTTTGAGCTCTTCGAATTTCTGCCCAAACTCAGTGTGCCCGCCCTCGCGGAAGCTGAGCTTCAACTCCAGACGTGGCAGATCCGGCGGAACGCCGCCTCCCGGGCTTGGCCGTACAATGGACGACCAGTACCATGCACCAAAAAGGGGCGAACCAACATGGCTATCCTGACAGTCCAATATCCATGCTTGGAACGACTTGAACTCTTCGGTTGGTTTTGAAGGGATATAGATCACCTGGTAGAGACAAGAGATTAGCTCAACGTCGTTTTTTAAGGAATGGACAGACTAGAATACGTACTCGTCTCGTAGTAATGTAAGCGGTGCCATCGGCGCTCTTGTGTGAAAATGGCGTTCGGCCTTGCTGAAGGGCTTTCGGGACACTCAATTCGAGACTGATCTTATTCGTCCTATGCCTTATGCGTTCGTTGTCCAGGGGAATAATGTTGCCATTGTCCCTGATCATGACCCAACTAGACTGATGATTAGAATTCAAGCTGGCCTGCGCAAGTTCTCGTTCCCTCTGCACCCTCCGTGCAATGTGATATGCGTGCTGCTCTTGAAGATACTGGTCTGTCATGTTGAAGATGGTGTGGCCAACTCTGTGCTGAAGCAGCTTAGGCGGGGAAGGACGGGCCCGTGGCCGGCTGGTCGACGGCGGGGTATCGCGAGATGCCGGAGAATGTCCTGGATGTTGAGGCTCGAGCAACTTGGCGTGCAGTGAGAGGGGGGGAGATGGTGCTGTTGAAGGACGGGAACCGCGGGGGCGTCGGCGGCGACGGCGGCTGCGACGACGACGACGACGGCGACGGCGACAGCGGCAAGGAGGAAGCAGAGAAGGCTGGACAATTTGGAACAGGGGCGGCGGGTATGGCAGGGACGTACTTTATTGACATTTTGAAGGTGGAAGGTTCTGCGACAGAGCTTCCCCTAGCAGCTTGTTTGTAGCCAGCCGGGCCAGCCAACGAATCGAGCGGGCGGCAGGAGAAGGGCGCCAGTACACTGTGGACTGTGGATTGTGGGCAGCGAAGCTTCGGAGATCCCAGGTTATGCTAGTGGTGGGGTGGGGAACTGGCCGCAAGTTGCAAGGCCACCTGGTACTGGGTTCTGGATGCCGGCTGCTGGGTTCTGGGTGTTGGGTGCTGGGTGCTGGGCGCTGGGCGTAGAAGCTGTGACCTGCCTTGACTTGTTTTGACTTGGGAAGCGAGACGGGGGGACGCAGATGGATGCAGGTGCAGACTGTAGTAGGCCCGCAGGTAGGAGAGGAGGGAAGAGGGGGGGGTAAGAGAGAGGCAAGTGGAGGAGGCCAGCCGAGACAGTACTAGACCAAGCGAGCCAAAGGATGAACAGGACGATAGAAGGTGGATGCTCCAAGGAGACGGACGAGGACGACGCCAGACGAGGCGAGAGATCGGGCTTCGGGCGGGCTGCGACGGGGCTGTGGTTTCTGGTCAAGCAGCGGCAGCTAAGAGAAAAAGTGGCTGGGATGGCAAATCCACAAGCCAGTAGGTAATGGCGAGTGGGGGACGTATTGCGACAGTGTACGTTATTGTTCGCCGTTCGTCGAGGTGTGTGTGGATGGATGTCCAGGGTGTGTGAGGGGGGGGAGGGGGGGGGGGG